TGTTGGCCCCCCCCTCCCGTTATCTCTGTGCAGCTGTTTATCTCGCTCACTCCATCATGATGTCTCCCCTTCATCTCTCGCTTCTCCCTTTATCCGCCCGCTGCTGCACTATGTCTCTCCTCCTCTCTTTGCGGCTCTCCGGTACGAAGGGACAAATTGAATTTTAGATCATGGCGTGTTCCTGTGGGGTCCGCGAATAGAGAGAGACAGAGAGAAAGATCGAGAGAGAGAGAGAGAGAGAGAGAGAGAGAGAGAGGCGGAGGGAGGGAGAGAGGGAGAAGAGCAGAGGCGGACGTCGAGATGATACTAATTGAAATTTGAAATTGATATTAGCGAATTATTACCCCTCTCCCGTCGTTCTGCTTGGCCCAACGCAATTACCGCCGCGTGTCGGGTATCAAAAGTAATTGCTGCCAAACTTAACAAAATTCGAGCAATTCTCGTTTCGGCCGTCTGACCTCCGGCGAAAACGACGCGCAGGACGATGCAGTCAGCCTTTTCTCCCTTCTCTGCATACACGTTTAAACGTACTCCTACAGAATATACTTTTAACGTTATACGAAATCGTGTTAGCTGTCCGTACTAGTATGCTCCCTATGAAAGCAGACACTCTTGATACTTCTCAAAATCAATTAAATCAAGCACCCTTCAATGGAGAATTTTAAACAATTTTATTACTTGCTCGTCTCTTAATTTAGCAAATTTTTAAATATTTTTAAATAGCTGAAATATATCAACGAACGATTAATTGTCATTTATATTATAGCCTTGGCTAAAAATATTAGGCACTTATGTTTTTTTAAATTTATTTTTTAGAATTCTTTTACCCTTACATTGTTTTACAGCCCTATATAAGTTTAAAAGGTTCTTGAAACAAAGGATAATTTACAATAAATGTCATAAATCAATTTTTGAGCTAAAACTTTAAATAATAGTTAATAAGGTGCCTAATATTTTTTTTTTAGTTCAAGACTGTCGTATATAGATATATTTTTTCATAAAACGTATACTTCTCCGTCAAACCAAAAAGTCTACAAATAAGCAAAGATATGTATTTCTTTTTTATCTTAACTCTCTCTGGTGAATCTATTGGATCCACAGTTATATGTATCTTTATCAAAAATGTCAATTCAATTTCTTTATATTACGCTTGCAAATTTAAATTATTCTTATTAAAAATATACCTATTATTAATATTAATTCATTTTTATGCAAGTTATGCTATTTTGGTTCCTTAGCATCGATTAATCCTTTTAATTAATAAAAATGAGTCTTACATTAGATTCAGTCAAAGGTATTTTATTTGATCAGTATCAGCTCTGGGGAGAGTTAAAAAAATTCAGCGAAAAATTAAGTTTCAATTAAGATAAACTGTTTCAGAAAACTGTAAATATTTCAACATAAATAAGCTATCATAATAATTAATCGCAAAAACTCATTAAATAACCACGTAAGTTTATCACAATAATTGATAGCTTGAGAAAACAATCGCGATCTATCTCTTCGGCGTACTCCGAAAAATTCGTCCGCTGTGGGTGGCGGTGCCATTGGTTTTGCGTTTGCAGAGAGTTAGAGGGATAATGACGGAACATACGCATCGACAGAAGGGACGAAATGTAGCGAGGCTAATCCACGAAGGGGAACGTGAGGTGCCCGGGGGTGTCCCCCGCAGCACGCGATGCAACCTCGCGGGGGCTGCTCGCCGATCTCACCCTCGCTAACGCCCTGGCATACGCGTCTCTCTCTCCCCCTTTCTCTCATCCCTTCCCACCTCGTCTCTTCTCACCCCGCGCGAAATAGGGTCGGCATGTGGTCCTAGAGTGTATTTGCGGTGTTCAACCAGCCGGGCGAAATATTATGCCAGTGTTTTATTGTGCGATCATCCCGACGGCGATGCCCCACTGAGCGCGAGGACGAAGGGATTGTGGCTACGAGTGTTGCGGAGTGTGTTTACACGTTGGCACACGTCGTCGGATTTGTTACAGGCTCGTTATACGAGGCACGTCCGCATTTATCGATACAAAAGGCTTCGATGCCGACGGCATTTAACATGAGGAGTGACCGATTAGAATGGAAAACTCTCGTACGGATTCCTTTATTAACTTGTCGCTTTGACATGCTAGCCTGAAATTCCATTACCTAAATATTTAACGTTGAAGCTTAGAAAATTGTGATAATTGTGAATCAATTATTACGTAAGAAGGCTTCGGGTTAATTAAAAATTTCATAGCCTAGAACGATTAATCTGTGATAGCAAACAAATTTTGTATTTGTGTTAAAAGTCGCTTGTTAATTTTTTGTTATCTGAACTTTCTACGTTAAATTCGTACTCAACATTTCTTAGTGTTAAAATAATATAATTTATGAGTAGCGAACAATTAACATAAAAATAATGTATTTTAAAACGTAAATAAACGAATAAAATTTAATACGCTATAAATGCTAATTCTTTTTAAAGAAATGTGCTTTCACAATTTGCGTACAAATTTCAGTGTTATATTTTTTGTGTTAATTTTTTATATAAAACTTATGTTAGTTTCTAACATATTCATCTAATGCTGAAGTGATACAAAAATTTCAGTGGACCATTCGGAATATATGAAATGTGTTAAATTTTACATTAAAACTCTGCTAAGTAATTATATGGAATTATATGGATTTAAATCTCAATGGAATGAGTTGGGTTTTACATATAATATAGTTTATAATGTATGTAATGTACAAAAGATGTCATACGCATGAAATTCTATAATGAATATTTTTTGAATCGATGTAAAGGTTCTTTGTAAGCACAAATTTTACATTTTTTTTTTTTATACATCATAACTCAAAAACTGCACAGTAAAAAATATTTTCATTGAAAATAGTTTCAAGTCTTTGTTAAAATTTTGTGTTGAATTTTTTATACATTCGAGTGTTAATTTAACATAATGTGATTATGCTATTTAAATATTTTGTGTTGAAATGCTATTCAACATTTCTTAGGGTCAAAATAATATAATTTATGAGTAAGTGATGAAGTAAAAATTATGTGTTTTAAAATTCTCAGATAAATGCATTAAAAAATACATGTTAATATCAAAAATGTTAATTTTATTTTAAAAAAATAGTCTTCCATAGTTTGTTTAAAAATTTATTATTTTATATATTATTTCTTCTTACGTGACACTTGTATTACAATAATATCTAACATCTTACATTATTCATCTTACATTAAATTAACATAAAAATTTGAGTTAACCATTTAGGACACGTGAAATGTGTTAAATTTAAAACAAATTCAATTATGTGTCCTTTATTGAGCTTTGTGTTTATGACACCTTTTGTGTTCTCTACGCTATAAACAATATAAACAATACTGCTATAAGCTATTACACGTATGTGAAAACAAGCTCGTTTCACCGAAATTCAATTTTCCATATAATTAGTACCAAGTGCTTTTCCAACTGCGTAGGAT